ACGGCACTCACCAGGAGACGCCCTGGCACCTCTGGGTCATTAACCAGCCCCAGGCGGTTCATGCCAGGTCCCCAGTAACGCCCAGCAGACACAGCTGTGTGGCTCGCGCTGCCCCCACCTCCCCCATGGCCCCCAGGCCCGGGCTGAGCTACCAGCTGGGAGGGCACTCGCCTTTCCCGGCGTTTTACCTTCTGGAAGAGACACAAAAGGGCTGCACAAAAGAGCAGTGAGCCAGCCCGCCCCAGCCCGTGTGCAAGGGGGTGAAGGTTCCAGGGCGCTGCACAATAGGCGGCTGCCTGGAATGGGGAAGGGAGCAGGCCGGAGCCGGGGCGAACTGCTCCAGGAAGGAAGAGCCGGGAACGGCCGCCGGAGGAAGCACACGAGGGGCATGAGGCTGTGCACACATCAGAGCGCACGAGGACTGGGACCGACGGCGGGGGAAGGGGTTAGCCAGCCTCCTTCTCCCAACAAGCACCCGGTGTTTGCATGTACGTCTGCGGGAGGGGGCAGAGCACACGCCAATCCTTGCCCAGTACATGTTTGCATGTGTCACACGTGTTTGCATGCATGTCTGTGGGGGGAGAGCACATGCCAGTCCTTGCCCAGTGCATGTTTGTGTGCATCACAAGTGTTCACATGATTGTTGGGGGGGTGCAAGCCAGTCCTTGCCCCGGTACATTTGCGTGTGTCACGCGTGTTTGCACGCACCGCACATCAGTCCTTGCCCCGGTACATTTGCGTGTGTCACGCGTGTTTGCATGCACCGCACGTCAGTCCTTGCCCCGGTACCGCTATTCCTTGCTTCCAGGAGTCAAGCAGCACCAGGCTCTAGAGAGGGGCAGGGGAGTGCAGCCTGAGCACGCTGTGACCCTGCAGCGCAGGAAGTGGCGGGGCCAGGGAGCTGGCTAGTGGCCTGGCTGGGGAGGAGGGGCCAGGGCATGGGCCAGCCTGCGCACACTAGGGACACGTGGGCTGGCAGGAGGCACAGGGCGAGGGGCACAGCCAAGGGCTCTCCGGGCTCCCTTCCCACAGACACCCCAGCTGGCAGGCCCCAGACCTGCCCCCGGGTACAGCCCAGAGGCAGGGAGAGGTGCCCCCGGCCTGGGGAAGGGGCCTCTCTG